TCGTATTGTCTTCTTGGTATGAGAAACTGATAGAGTAAATAAGATCCAAAAGGTACAGTAGATATTGTGAAAGGGAAAGAAACTGCTCAAAAGGAAGGGACACCTGGGATGGGAGAAAGGAGAAAAGAAGGGATGGAATATATAAGATAATTGTACCACTAATTTCTACTAGTTCATTGAAAGGAACAGTTAGTGTTTAATTTTTTGATCAATTTTGCATGCCTATATCTGGTAATCTGAGCAACTACTTTGAAGATAACAATATGCAATATAATAATCATTTTTAATTTCCTATCCCCTGTTTTGAAATTTTGTATCATTTTTATTGTTTTTTCCTCTTTAAAATAAAAATGCATAAGGCAGAAGGGTCCATCTGACAGGACTCATTGAAGAAGTTTGCAAATGCAAACGACAGTTGTTGGGTTTCATGAGAATAATTCTCTTGAGTGGGTTGCTGCTTATGAGGTGGGTGGTGATGCTGAGTGCATCTCATTTGATAGCTTATATGTTTTGGATACGGTCATTGGTGTAAACAGAATGTATTTTCCTGTGAATTTCATTTTAATTTTGGAGATTAATTTCTCATCCAGTTTATAGTATTAAAATTATTATACTTCCATAGAGTGTTTTTAGGACAGACAATAGTCAGGACCACAATCTTTACAACTTTAGGAAGTGGAATCTAAGCAGTTAAAATGAGTGGGCCCGTGGGTATTTGAAGCTTAGAGAGGATGAGATCTCTGTCAAGAAGGTGGATGAGAGCCAGCCAAGAAGATCAAGCCCCATGTATTCGGGGAGAGACAACCAGGGGCACGGAAAATGGAAGCATCTGCATGTGGGGGGGAGGCATCCAGAGCAGGCGGGGCCGTGACACGGGTCATTCTCACGCCCCTACAGAGACACAGTACCACGTGGTGTTGATCCTTCCCTGCCACTCACTATGGACTTCAGTGTCGTGGTGGTCAGGAGGAAAGTGCAAAGGGAGAGAAAGTGGTTCTGATGGAAGAGACCTGGATAATCTCCAAATGCTTGGCCTTGAAGTTTGTGCAGGCCTGCCATCTCTTGTTTTCCCTCCCTCCTTTCTTCCCTCCCTCCTTCCCTCCCTCCTTCCCTCCTTCCCTTCCTTCATTCCTTCCTCCCTCCCTCCCTTCTTTCCTGCTTCTTTTCCTTCTTTTCTCCCTCCTTCCCTCCCTCCTCTCTTTCTATAGTTACTTCTTTAGATTCATGCAGAGCAGATCTCATTGTACTCTCCATTCCTAGACTTCCAAATCTTCCTGGGCAAATGCCAAGAGTTTTCCCAGGAGGAAAGTCACAGCACTCTCTAAGTACCTTTGGCTCAGCCTTCTTGTAGACCTTCCATTTGTTTTCTCACGCACTCATTCACTCCTCCATTTACTCATATTCAAACTGGATGTGTTGCACTGGTAAGGCACAACATGCGTTATGCTGGGGACTTAGGTTTGGTCTCTCTTCTGGAGTGGGTCACAGTGTAGTGGGACAGACAGATACCTAATGAAATAAGCATGATTCAACAAGGCGAATGCTGCAGTACAGGAAGTGTGGCAAGTTCTTTGGTCTGAGAGCAGAGCTGTTGGGTGTTAGTTCCCTTTTCCTGAAGTGACTCTGAGGGGGAGGATGTGTCTGGATGTTGTCACATGCTGTCACTTGGGATGAGAGGAGAGAAGAGGTCACTGGCCTGTGAGAAGAGCACTTCAAGAGCAGTAGCAGCATTAGCAGTGGTAGCAGCAGAGATACAGCTGGCTGATCTGTCCATGGGCAGCTGGCCAGATGGCAACATCAAGATGAACTCATGCAACCCAGGGCATCCACACCAGTGGGGAGAGACAGTGCTGGTACTGAGGGAGAATGGAGCTGAGGGGAGTGCTAGAAATAAGGAAAGATAGAGTGCAGCATGTTAAGAGCATTCATTTTGGAATCAAACATCCCTGAGTTTGAAGCCTGCTTCCCCAGGTAACATTAGTGCCTGGAGAGAGAACAATTTGTAAAAAAATAGAAGCACAATAAAATAAAGATATCTCAGAGAGAGAGAGATAAGAAATCAGTATAAGCTGGGATAACATAGTTTGAAAATCAAAATACATCTGAGAACCACATAGCTTGGAGACTTTGGAATTTAGTCTACAGGCTCCATAAATAGTTTAAGGGCAGGCGTGACATAAGTTGGCTTGGGGAGGTGAAAGGAGATTAGCGAGCTATGAGTAATACTCGTGGGAGTGGTGGTGATGAGGTTCACGATGGTGAAGCTTGGCAGCGACTGACCAGAGGTTTGGAAATTGCAATTATGTAAGCCATGTAGTGTTTTTCCATAGCATCTGATTCTGGCGTTAGAGACGCTCTGTCCTCTGAAACATCAGTTTCAAGAATGGGAAAAATTTTTCAAATCACAAATATCCATCAAAGCTTTTTCAAAATGTTGATGAAAATTATGTGTCTGTAGTGAAGCTCTGCATCATTTCCCATGTTTTTTTTTTATTATTTTTTATTCTCTTTAGTGGTTTGATCAATTTTGCATGCCTACACCTGGTAATCTGAGCAACTTCGTTGACAATAACAATATGCAATATAACAACCACTATTAATGCCTATCATTTTGTTTTGAAACCCTATATCATTTTTATGTTGTTTTATTTTTGCCTATGTTGTTATTTTGTTATTTTTAAAAATTCTCTCTAAAATATAAATTAAAAAAAAGAAAATTATGTGTTTGGTTATCCTGTTATAAGAAGACCTATAGGTGCAGCCAAAATAAGAACTGCTTGTGGGCAGAAAAAAGTGGCTGCGAGAAGAGATTTCACGTGGTTGTGGAAATCCCATGTGGGGCGGGGCAGGAGGAGGCCACAGGATAGATGCCTGCTTTCACAGAACCTTCATCTCATCACTACTGATGCTCTACCCTTCTCTTCACCTCACTGCTGTCTTCTGGGGTGGAACTGGCAAATGTCTGCCTTTCTTGTCACCATCAATACCCATATTTTAAATCCTCAAAACTTCACTCAAGCTGGGGGTCTTCCCTGGATTTATTAAGTGAACACCATTGTTCTCTCACCTCCAAAGCCTGAGTAAAGAGCCACGATGTTTGACTCTCTGTGCTGGATGGGAAACCATGAACTGTCCCTCTTGGACCCATTCTGAGTGTGAGTTCCCCAGAAAAGAAATTTTGTCTCTCTGATTCCTTGCTGTGTCACTAGCGCCTAGGATTGAGTGCATGATAGATGCTCCACACAAATGCATTGAGTAAATAAATGGGTCAAGGGTTCAAGACTTTATGTCACTTTAATGAAGTTACGGAAGCAGCTTGTTCGGATCTCCTTTCCACTGCTGAAGGCTCCACTTTTGTCACTTCTAGTTTTCCAAGGTCTGCTTGGTGTCCCAGTCAGGCACTTTACCAGTTGACCCTGATCCTTTTTCTCTTCACTCAGATTAGATTCAGAGTGGTAGTTGGAGGTGCTCTGGGCCTCGGAGCTGAGTTCAGCTCCTGTCAAATGGCAAATTCCTATCCTCCAGTCGGGTCCAGCCTGTGGCACTTTATTTCCAGGTTTACACAGAGCTGTGAGCCCTGAGCACTGCTGTCCACATCCAGTGTGGGAAGCCTGGCAGGCCCTCTCAGCTGTGTGTGGCTTTCCTTGGGAGCTGGCTGCTCACTGCTATGTACCCACTCGTTTCTGTCTCTTGGTGATTGAAACTGAACATAAACTAAAGCTCAAAGCTGAAGCTCCTGCTGGAACCCATGCCTTGGTGTTTTAGACCTGGCTGGTGCACGCTTGGTATTAAGCTCCATTGGGGCTCCTTCTGATCCTTTCTGTTTTAAGAATCACTATACAGGATTTGATAAAATTCTTTTACACTTCATTAACTGCATAAAGCTATTCATAGTTTTTTTCTTCTCTGCCTGCTTTACACGTTTCATAATATTAATTTCTTTTCATATTTGCAGCTTGACTATAGTGGGAGTTCTGTGACATTTCAAAGGTTCTTTGGCAGTCAAAGGGAGCTGTTGCTCTTGGTTCACATTTAGAAACATTATTGAATCTCAGGAGTACCGAGATTTCACATTTGATGCCAAAATATGCCACTGGAGTGAACTTGTAACCTCTCATCCACTGGTGCTCCTGAGAGCACCAATTCAAAATTAATGAATATTTACTTTTTTGATTATATCTATTTACAATTCCTGCAACAATTCTCCTTTTTTCCCATCGAATTCTTATTTTGCACAACTCCCATCATCTTGTTGACTAAACTCCCAGCCACATCTCTACTCCTTGGCTTCATTCCTGTAGTCAGTTCTCTAAGCTTTCGTCTGTCTCCCTGGCTCTTCATAGAGCAAGCAAATGAAACCCCCTCGCTGAGGTTTCCTCCATCTTTCCTCTTCCTTTGTCTTTTTATTCTGCTTCTCTTCTGTCCAGTTTCTGTTTCTTTTCTTTGAGATCCTCTGATTCTTAATTAGGACCCTGTAAAGCAGTTATTGAAATCATTCCAATGCAACACACTGAAAATTTGGGATATATGAGCATCTTCTCAATTTTCATGAATAGTCAAACCAACAGCCTGCATCCTTTTCTCTCTCTCATTCCAACATAAAACTCTTCACAGCCCTTCCATGGGTAGAGAGGAAATGATTTGCTGGGTTGTTTTTTCTGGTGCATGACTCAAACTCTGCCCCCAGAGCTGGGTTGTGCTGGCCAAGGAACTGAGCAGAGAGAGAATGAACGACAAGTGAGATTTCTGGTGGGACCAGAAGCTTTATTTTTGGATAGCATCAGGTGCACGTGCTACTGCACCTCAGCTGGAGTGGGTTCTGTGAGATGCTGACATCTTGGAACCTTGGACAGGAGCTCCCAGCCCAGCCTATGGAAGCCAGAGGGAGGTATCTGGAAAGGATGCCTCTGGGAAGGATGTGTCAAGGTGACGCTTTTCTTCGGTTCCTGGGATTCCTGTTTTCTCTGAAATCTCTGTGGTCAGCAGCGGCCCCCAGAGGCCTGGCCACAGCCAGAGCCCCCACACTGCCGCCCACTGTCACCATCACAGGAGTCCGAGCTCCGCAGCCTGCACCTGTGGGACCTGCGGCGCCTGTGGTGGCTCAGGCAGCAGCCTCCCTCGGAGCTGGAGCTGAGGCCGCCGCAGCCCCCAGAGCCGGCAGCAGAGCAGGAGGAGGCAGCAGGCAGGCACTGTGCTGGGCTCTTCTGTGGGCACTTGGGGGAGGGGCACTTGGGAGGGGGCTGGCACTGCTGCTGGTTCTGCTGGCAGGACATCTCCGTGGGGTCAGTGAACCTGGAGAGAGTGCAGAAAAAGCCCAGTGAAAAAGATTTAGGCCCGCAGTATCTCTGGGAATGATTTTATAAAATCTTTGCCCCTAAGACCAGCTGCTTCCTGAGCTAGACAGGAAAAAGGAAAAGTGCTGTCCCTTTGAACTGACTGGAAATATATTTCTTTCCACTTGGCCGCTTGCAGAAGAGAGGGTGACATATCTATCTGGACTTAAGTCGTCTGTGTTCACAGAATCAGAGAAGCCAAGCCACTGGATTGCAGAATGGCTCCTGAGCGCTCTCTGGGCCCACGTGTGTCTCTGAGGGAAGCGTGGAGGGGCTGCTGAGAGCCAGGACCCACGCAGCCCACAGAGCTTCCCCGCCCTCTGCCCCATCGCCTGCCTCCCGCTGCCCTCCAGGTTCTTCCCTCTGCTGCCTGCGTGGCGGACACCTCTGCCTCCCTCTTCCCCACTGAAGTATGTGCTTATCTTCCCCACAGTCTCCGGACTAGCACCCGGCCCCTGCTGGGCACTCACTGGATTCAGAGGAGGCAGCAGAAGGAAGAAGGCTGTGGCTGAGGAGCCCCTGGGCAGGAGCCCTTTTATCCTGTGCAGGGTTAGTGATGCACAGGCTTAGCATGCTGCTGCTTTCACACCCAAGGGAAGTGACAGCTGGAGCTCGGCCAGCACCATCCATTCATCATCTTCCTGTGCGCTCGCTGTGATGTCTGACAAGAGGGAACCAGGGAGGTGTCTTCCTACCTGCTGCCATCGCACTCAGACCTGCTGTGGTTACCACTCTGTCCCCGACAGCTTCCGTTCTTTCACACAGGCTCTGTGCCATGACTTTGCTGGGAACAAGCCATACCTGGATGGACATGGCTCTTCGTTCTGGATAGCTCACAGTCTGGCAGGAAAGAGATTCAGATGTGTTCACACACATACACACACACACACACGCACACACACACGTTAACATAGAATGAAACCTCAAGGGTAAATGAGGTCTTGGTCTTTGGTGTCAGCTTTCCTTCACCCTGTATGTGATCCAAAGCTCCCAAAGCTACCTGACATCCAGATGTGACCAGTCACTGTCCTTTCAAGCTCCTGGGATGAGAGAAGAGGGTGAAGGTGGGGTAGATGGAGCTAAGACCCTGTTTGGGTGGAGTGGCAACCTAGATGCACTTATGGGGGGCTCCAGGGGGAGAGGATGGTGAAACTGAGTTGTTTTTTGATGAATTTAGTAATTTAGAGGAGTCAACAGTAGTGACTTATGTATGGTCTACTTAATTAAACTGAAGGCCTTTCTGAAGTGAATAATTTACCATTTGTTATGCTACATTTACTTCATTTTCAGTGAAAAATAACTATCAAGGACCCCACAAAATTTAATAATTCTATTTACATCACAACATTTTCTATTAAGATATATTTTTTATTTATATTTTTGGACACAGATCTATATTCATGGTCTATTTAAAACTGGTTATAGCAGTTTATAAAATGACATATAGAATTATTCATAAAAGATGTTTTAAATGGAATGCTTTCACAGTGTGTCTCTACACATATTAGATCTTATATGATTAGTTACATATTTTTAGTTAAAACATTTGTATTCCTCCTACCTTCCTCCCCCCTCCCTCTTATCTCCCTCCCTCTCTCTCTTGCTCTCTCTCTCCCTTTTGCTTCACTTTTCAAGAGCTTTTCACTCAAACATAGAGATTTCATACTTCTTTCTCTAGGGACTCATGAGATAATGTATTGCCTGGAGTCAGAGGAAACAGTGGCCCAGAATGGTAAGTGGGGAGGGGATGAGAGGCGCAGAGCCTCCTCAGTTTCCTTTCAGACTCAGAGCTGTTTCACTCACATTGTGTGGTGTCCCACAAAACGTTACTGTTCTGGAGAAGAAACTGTTGCAGAAGGATGATGGAAATATCTTCATACCGCACTGTGTGATAAGGCTGAAGATAGTCATAGATAGGTGGAGGGCACGGCCCTTCATTCACCAGCTTTGCCAGTGTGTGATGCCCGAGAGAATGCCAGGTTGCGAGATCTAGTGGCCACTTTCTGGGAACACCGGGCCTCATACAAAATGGATCTGGTCTCTGATCTACAATCCTGGTTGTAGAGACCTCCCCACGTCTGTCTTCCACAGCCTTAGTATTCGGCCCAAGATACTGTTGTAGATTTAGTGGGTTTTTTTTTCTCCCCACAATTCATGTGTGAAATCCTAACTCCCAATATGATGGTTTTAGAGGACAGGGTCTTTGTGAAGTGATGGGACCATAGAAATGCCACCCCCAAAATGGGCATTAGTGCCCTTGCAGAAAGACCCCAGAGTGCCTGTCTAGTCTGAGACACAAGGAGTAGTTGGCAGAAATAGGGCTGGAAGGAAGCCCTCACTCAAATTCCACTGTGTTGCTAACCTGATCTTAGGTTTCCACCCAGCAGAACCATGGGAAAAAGTTTCTGTTGTTTTTAAGCCTCCTGTTCTATGTCATTCTATTATAGCAGCCTGAAGGGGTTAGGAAAGCCTTGGCTTTCTGCTGTTCATGCCCTTTCTTCTGGAATTTCCTCTCACTTAAGCCGTTCATTTCTAGATTTCTTAATTGAGAAAAGCTTTGTGGAACAGGAGCCATGGGCCAGGTACCATGGATGGCGCTGGGAACATGGTAGGGAACAAAGAGAGCTTACAGTCCCACATGGAGGACAAACATTGAAAGAGGAAGGACAGCTCTTTCTGGGGTGCAGTGCTCTCAGTCCTCTGCTTCTTATCCAAACAAGTCCGGGGTCCCGGCCCTCTGCAGAAGTGAGCATTTATTTGCAAATGTTGTGATATTTCCAGAAGCAAAGGTAGGAGCCATTTTTTGGCCAAATGGGTTAAAATTTGAGTCTTTGGGGGCAACTTTTGAAAAGTAACCCCAGTACCATTAAGTCAAAGTCAAAGCTTCCAGAACCTATCAGTGAGGGGTCTTCTCTGTTCTTCCTGAAACGCAGGTCATCTTTGGCTGGGTTTCTCTCTGCTCCACTCCTAACTGGCTGTCTCAACACTGTTGTTTCAGGTTCTTAACCCTGGAGAAGGAGCTCTTCCCTGGTTTTGCAGGGAGTATCAGGTAACCCTCCCAGGCCAGCTCTGCAGAAATCCCACTTCAAGGAGAATAGTTATTCCAGGATTTACAGGGTTCAGGAGAAACATAAAGACTTGTCAGAGGGATGACCTGAGGTATGTCAGATGACCCAACTTATTAATGGTAACTGGTAGTAGAGAGACAAATATGAAGCTTTTCTGGTTTACTTCCTTGGGTAGTTTGATTAGGTCATATAATTTATAAGGCAATGATGACACTTCCTTCACAACCAATCAGAGTTAATTGCCAATTCAAGATTCTTTTCTCACCCAAACAGTGTGACACTTAGCTGAGTCATAATTAGGTAAAATGGGAGGAGAGAGATGGACAATGGCACCTTTTTGTTTTATTGAGATATAATTATATCCCATAAAATCCACCTTTGTGAAATGTACAAGTTTTCAGTTTTTAAGATATTCAAAACTTGTGAAGCCGGGCGTGGTGGTGCACACCTGTAATCCCAGCACTCGGGAGGCTGAGGGAGGAGGATCGTTGTGAGTTCGAGACCAGCCTAGGCTACAAAGTGAGCTCAAGGCCAGCCTGAACTACATAGTGAGACCCTGTCTCAAAAAAAAAAAAAAAGGACAAAAAACAAAAAACAACAAAAAACTTGTGAACCACAGCTACACACTCAATTCAGAACATTTTTATCGCTCCCAGAAGGAACCTTGGACCAAATACAGTCACTCTCCGTTCCCCATTTTTCCTCCTGGTAACTACTTATGTACATTGTCTCTCTATGAATTGACCTATTTTGGAGAATTTATAAACAATGTACCACTTTTTGTTTTGACTTCTTTCATTTAGCATATTGTTTTCAAGGTTTATGTATGCTGTGGTATACATCAACACTCCATGCCTTTTTGTAAGTAAGTAGTGAACATTTGAATGATTTCCAGTTTTTGCTTTTTTTTTTTTTATGCTGCTGGGAATTGAACCCAGGGCCTTGTGCATGCAAGACAAGAGCTCTACCACTGAGCTACATTCGCAGACCCTATTTCCAATTTTTGGCTATTAAAAATGGTATAGCTCTGTACTTGGTCTTGTTTTCTTCCTTCTGCTTTAGGTTTGGTTCGCTTCTTTTCCCCAGTACCATGAGGTATAACATTAGTTTTTTGATCTGAGCTTTCTGTTATAGTTTAATATGGGTGATTACAGCTGTATATTTCTGTCTGAGCACTCCTTTGGATGTATCTCATAAGTTTTAGTACATTGTGTGTTCATTTTTATTTATATTAAAATGTTTTTGAATTTCTCTTGTGATTTCTTCTTTGATCCCCTGGTTGCTTAACTCTGTTTTGTTTAATTTGCAAATATTTTTGAATTTTCTAGTTTCCTTGTTTTACTAATTTCTAATTTCATTCTAGTATGGTTGGAGAAAATACTTTGTAGTTTTTCAGATTTTTGAAATTTAGTGATGCTTCTTTTTAAGGCCTAACAAATCATCCATCTTAAAGTTCCACACCCATTTGAGAACGATGTGGCTCTGCTATTGTGGGTGGAGCATTCAACAAGATGTCTCTTAGGTCTACTTGGTTTAGAATTTTGTTTGTTTGTTTGTTTGTTTTGGGGGGCGGGTTTCCGGTATCAGGAATCAAACTCATGACCTCGCGCTTGCCAGGCAGGCACTGTGCCACTGAGCTAATTCCCCAGCCCCTAGAGTGTTGTTCAACACTTCTACTTTGATGATCTTCTGTCTAATGGTTGCATTATTCAAAGTGGAGCATGAGAGGCTTCAACTATTATTTCATTATTAAATGGACAGTGTGTGGTCTCTCTGTTAGATTTTCTTCATGTAATTTGATACTCCATTGCCTATACATATACACATATAGTAATCATTTTTTTAATTGACTGATCTTTTTATCATTGCAAAATGTTCTTCTTTGTATCTAGTATTTATTTCTCTTAAAGTCTATCTCATTCTGTATAAGCACAGTGATTCCAGCTTTTTGGGGAAACACTCTTACATGGTATATGTTTTTCTGTCTCATACTTTCAATCTCTGTGTCTTTAATCTCAGGTGTCTTTTGTAGACTACCTACTGTTGGATCATTCTATTTTATCCTTTATGTCAATTTCTGTCCTTTGATTGGAATATTTAACATATATACATTTAATATAATTATTTTAAGGTAGAATTGATGTCCTATAATACATCAATTTTTGTTCCTGTGTTTTTCTATTATGGTTTTTATTTAATTGGTAACTTCTAGTGTACCTTTTTAGTTTCCATGTTATATATTTTGCTGTATTTTTTGAGTTATTTTCTCAGTAGTTACTTTTAGGATTATTATTAGCATTTTAACTTAAAAACAATTTAATTCAGATCAATACCAACTTAATTTTGATAGCATATGACAGCTTTAGTCCTATATAGCTTTATCCCTTTTCTCTTTCATGTGCTGTTATTACCATACAAAAATCACATCTTTATTTATTATAAGGCCAT